ATTTTTATTCGAAAAACAATAGTTTCCCCAGTTTTCTTGTTTTTTATCTGGTTGGAAGTTATGTGTCCAACCAATCTAATTTGGCAGTGTCTTTATCTATATTGTAAAAGGGCAAACCAATACAAAACCAAGACACCACTATCACCACTAATATATATATATGAGCAAAGACGCATCATAGCAACCAGCACTCACTCACCGAAACATTGAAATTGTTGATATGATAGAGTAGCCAGATGTCCTCTTTTTCCTGGACATGTCCTACTTTTAATGCCTAAAAAAAATGGTCCGAGGAGAATTTCAAAATCTTCCGGGATTTTGGTCGACTAAAGTGCAACATGTAGTTGAACCAATTTTGAAAGCTGTCTTTGGTAAAATGCTTTGAGCAAATGAACAGCTGAGCATCAAACTTTGCAGGGATCTCCTGATAGACCAAAATAATCCATGCCTGTCGAGTCTTCGGATCCTTGGGAAGACTGGGAAAATGTTCCCCTTCCTCCGGTCAGCCTGGAACACTACATTTCCGCCTGTGGTTCTGACTCCTTTTCAATAGAGAAACTGTCTGCTTTGTAATTCTTGTAGAAGTAAACCCAACTTTAGGCTAAACAGCTAAACTGGTGGCTTCCATCTACCTCTATTCATGTTCTTGGGCCGTGAACCAGTGGGCTGGTCTGTGTGTCAATTTCGGGGCGTGACAAAACTACAGGCCAGAACCAAATAAGACAACATCCCCGAGTTCACGTCAATCCTATGCTTCGTTTGGATTCGCCCGTTTTATGGTGGAAGTTTAGAATTGTGAGATTTGCAGAGAAAGGAGGTGTCGATGGGGTTTGAACTTCTCTGTACGTCCATTTCACCCACTGAACTATCATTTTCATCTATGACAATGGAAACCTTGATTTGCATTCTCTCTTAGCGTAAATGGCTTCCTTCATGTCTCCATGTGTGATTATGGACTTGTTTCTAACAGGCGTCGCTGCACTGGACTCTGAGGTGTCTGGAAAAATAGGTCTTCGAGCTGTCGTCTATTACTTCTCAACAACCATCATTGCAGTGATTCTTGGTGAGTTTTTTGTCTTTCTTATCTTATGGGGTTTTTTTTTACATCCCTGGAGGTATAGGCTAGTTTAAGATGATCATTAGATAACCTTAAGTAAACATACCTGTCATGACACAGGACAGAAGGACCCAATATTTAAGGGGAGACAGACAGAGGGATAATTCAAAGCGTTTATTTAAGACAAAGCGCTTGGATCCATAGTATCAGCGGCTAGGACGTCTATGACTGGAAACTCTGTTTAAGAGAAACACAGGTTAGTGACCATGATAATCTGATGGAGGATGATTATCCATGTGTGTCATTAAGATGGTTTAACAATTCATCATCCATCAGCAGAGAACAAGGTAGGATCCAGCCGATGGGCTGCAAACAAGATGCATTTGGCACCGCCCAGAGTTTCCCAGATGCTAAAGCCCCGGAGAACATTCAGGAGTCTGAAGCCAGATTGGGGATACAGATCAGAATGGGAACAGGCTGGTTGAGGGGTCCAGGACTCCACAGATAATTCAGGCAAACCGTTCAGATGGGAACAGATAGGCCCAGTGGTCGAAGGCAGAACAGGTTAGGATCAGGTCATCAGAAACACTCAGTAATGCTTAAAACCACTCTCTCCACTGAGATCAGATGGAAACAGGCATGCTCAGTGGATGAGAGGCAGAACAGGTCAGGATCAGGAAACCAGAAAAACTATGGTATGCAAAAAAAACCACTCTCTCCACTGGCCCCCGAGAAGGATAACAAGATAAGCTCACCCTGATAGCTGGATGCAAGTAAATTAAATAGAGGCAGGAGCAGGTGGATCAGATGAGCGGTAAAAGAATCATGACAATACCACAGTTTTGGAGTTTAGCTCATAGATTTTTAATTTAAATGTTCTAAATCAGCATCTCCACGAGATTCCTGCTTGTTGGCTGTAGTGGTGAGATGTGACGGAGGGAGGGACGGCTCTGCCTACTCTGTGTAGAGCTTTTGAATGCCTTGGTTTACCTTGATTCTAACTGGCCCCTACCTTACCTTGAGGCTGTACTATTGTTTTGCTGTGTGTAACTCTATGTCAAATAATATTCTCTCTCTTTGCAGGTATTATTTTGGTGATGACGATCAAGCCTGGTGTCTCCCAAGACGCTGACCACATCGACAGAACAGGCACCACCCCCAACGTCACTACGGTTGATACACTGCTTGACCTCATTAGGTGAATCTCTGGTTCTGTTGAAGGGGAGTTCTCCTTCCTAGAGCCCTTACATGGCTGCTTAGTATGATAGCTACAAGGTTAGGGACTTCATGAAAACTACTTGGTTTCCTTATACAGAGCTTGGCTGCAATGTTTCATCACAGACGTATTATCTATACACTGCTGATAACAGGAGGTGAAAAGCAGCTCTAGACTAGCTTTGAATGTGGTGATGTCATCACTACGCTTCCATTCCAATTGAGCCAGATTTATGCTGTGTGCTCCCGTTCTCCAAGAGTCCAGACTTTCCTGTGGTCTTCTAAAGAGCATACTTGGCGAGGACACAAGTCCGTACTCGAGTTCTTGTAATTTGAGAAAGGCCACCTGTATCCAGTGCTGGTTTTTCTCTTTTAACAAAGATGGCTTCCCTCACTCTTACCTTTAAAACATCTCTAGTGTAAGCTGAAGAATTGACAAACTTTTTCAGAAAAGCAAATTTGCCTCCGGACTAATCCTGCTCTGTGATTGCTATGATCCCGGATGACTGAGAATTTGAAAAAGGCCTATTAACGTTGATCTTAGAGTTCATTAATCAGATAATTTCGTATTGATGGTACAGCATGTTCCTAATGCTCAAACCTTTTCACAAACGTTCCAAAAAGGGGCATCTTTAAAATTGTTAATTTGCTTTGCATATGGCAGGTAGCTGTTTATGGAGACAAATACCCCATCCCAAAAAATTTTCAGGTGTTTTAGGAACTTTGTATTAAGCAACATGTCAAACAAGTTATGGGACTCTGATTCTAGACCTTTTTTATTCAACAGAAACATGTTTCCAGAAAATCTGGTGCAGGCTTGTTTTCAGCAGGTCAGAATCTTTTCACATTGATTTTTCAAATTATATTGACATGTATGTGGAGTACTGATGTCTAAATATCTTTGATTTCCCTGTAGTACAAAACAAAGCGGAAAGAGCTGGAGGAAGAGAAAGCGTCAAACAACACCACTGCAATGCCACCTCTTGCAACAACCGTCATGGCGGTCGTTGAGGTAGGCAAACACTCTGCATTTACAAAATACTCCTTATTATCAAAGTTTCATATTTTAGAAGTTTTTTAGATTTGGCCATTTTATGAGGATGTCTTTGTGTGCAGGTAAATATTACTGTGCAGAATTATTAGGCAACGTAATAAAAAACAAATATATACCCATCCTACTTGTTTATTTTCACCAGGTAAACCAATATAGCAACTCAAAATTCAGAAGTAAACATTTGTGACATTCAAAAACAAACAAAAAAACTAATTAGTGACCATTATAGCCTCCTTTCTTCACCATTGCGCCCTAAAGCCTTCCATCCATAGATTCTGTCAGTGTCTTGATCTGTTTGCAATCCTCATTTCGTGCAGCAGCCACCACAGCCTCCCAGACACTGTTTTCCCTCCCTGTAGATCTCACATTTCATGAAGGACCACAGGTTCTCCATGGGGTTCAGATCAGGGGAACAAGGGGGCCATGTCATTAATTTTTCTCCTTTTAGACCTTTTCTGGCCAGCCACGCTGTGGTGTATTTTGATGCGTGTGACGGAACATTGTCCTGCATGAATATCAGGTTTTTCTTGAATGATGGCGACTTCTTCTTGTACCACTGTTTGAAGAAGGTGTCTTCCAGAAACTGGCAGTAGGTCTCGGAGTTGATCTTGACTCCATAATCAACCCGAAAAGGTCCCACAACCTCATCTTTGATGATAGCAGCCCATAGCATTACCCCTGCTCCACCTTGCTGGCGTCTAAGTTGATAAGGAACTTGCTGCCCTTTCCTGATCCAGCCTGGTGCCCATCCATCCATCTGGCCCATCAAGAAACTCTCATTTCATCAGACCAAAACAGAGAAATCAGTCTTCAGATGTTGTGTCTAGTGTGTCTTGTTCAAAGGTGGCCTTTTTTTTTTTTTGGCTTTCCTTACCTTGGCAAGGTCCTTGAGTATTGAGCACCTTGTGCTTCTCAGCGCTCCAGACATATTGCAGCTCTGAAATATGGTACAACTGGTGGCTAATGGCTTCCTGGCAGCTTCACGCTTCATCCTTCTCTATTCATGGGGAGTTTTTTACATTTTCTTTTTTCAACACGCTTCTTGCACCCCGGTTGGCTATTTGCCAAACTCCTGCACCCCTCTGAAAGACATCTGACCATTTTTGACTTTTCAGAGTCTGTCAAATCTCTTTTCTGACCCATTTTGCCAAAGGAAAGGAAGTTGCCTAATAATTAAGCACATCTTATATAGGTTGTGGTGTCATTAGGCCACATCCCTTCTCATTAATGAGATGCACACCACCTGATTAACTTAATTGGTAGTTAGCTTTCAAGCCTATACAGCTTGGAGTAGGACAACATGTATGAAAAGGATGATGTGGTCGACATACTCATTTGCCTAATAATTCTGCACACAGTGTATATTAAAGATCATGTTTACTAATCTGGCAAGAGATTATTATCTGGGCCTGCTCAAATAAAATCTGTTCAGGGAAAGGAGGGACATTCAGCGGAACCTTCCGAACACCTAGGCTGTATCCGAATGTTTGGCCTAATCACTACGTAGGGCTCTATATAGTGGTTACACCATTTTAAATGAGTGTCCCAATGTGTAGTGGATGAAAAAACAGTAGACTCAAAATTTCCCACAATGCACCTTGAAAAGTAGTAATCATCTATGGTTGTCACTACCCAATCCGTCTCGGAAGCACGATCTGTCCTGCGCATTTGCGAACAGAATAACTTCCGGCTAGCCAAATGCTTCATTTTTCGTACTTTTTCATTCTTTTGAATATTTTTTTTTTATTTGTTTGAATATTTTTGTATTTGCGTAAATATTGCATGTTTCAAAGAAACAACAAAAAAAAGTAATACACTTAAATAGCCTTTCGAACGTTGCTGTGACTGCTCTGAGTATGTCCGATGATGACATCATGCAATACAATGGATAGAATTTACAACGTTCCCATTTCTTTCAGAAAAGTCTTCAATATTTTCTATGTGATGTATTTTAGCATTCTTTGATGTTTTAAGTATATAAATAAGTATTTTCAGCACCGTTATTACGTAGTTTTTCAGCGATCCGATCTGTTCGTCAATTCGCAGGATGGATCATGCTTCCGGGACGGATCGGGTAGTGACAATGTTCACAGATGTATCCCAGAATGCTTTGTGAGAGCTCTCTTTGCAAAGCATCATGGGATTTGTTGACAAAGCAGCCCGCTGTCGGGTACAAATAACAAAGATGGTGCATGCACTATGCTGTCCGAAACGTCACTTAACTGAGCTCACTATAAAGTTCACTATGTAGTCCCATCTCTATATAGTGATTGAGAGATTTAATAAAGCCAACGTTTGGCCCTAGTCCCCGCCTAGCAAAGATTGGTTTTAGCCAATCACAGTGACTAATGAAGTAGAACACGCCAAGAGAAAACACAAAAACGTGCATGCAGCTACAACTTAAACTGTACCTTGAAACCACAGGGTTTGAAAGTTCACATTTCACGATGTACGTTCTCACACTGTGCGATCCGACGCTCTGATCTGATCTACGCGCTCACACTGTACATCTAAACACCAAACGTCCGACTCAGCTCTGCAGTGAGATGGTGCTGGTCGGACTCATCAATCTGGTAGAAGAAGAAGTCCCTTGTTAGCAGATGCGCAGTGCACTAGGTTATGGTATATCGGCAGGATTTGCTTACAACGGCCGACTAAATTTCAAACATGTTTGATTTTCTCCCGACCTTACGATTCCTGATACGAAGGTGGTCATTAGAGGCAGGTCGCCCCTCGTTACCCCCTGTACAGTACACGACGCGGGATGCACAATGAGGTTGAAACTCTGCATGATCAAGAAAAATTCTCACACGACTAGAGAGCCCGAACAAGTGCAAAAAAACGTACAATGTATGCCCAGCTTAGGAGAAAACAGCATCCCACCCTGCTCTTGGTCATCTGAGTGTTTTTTTTTTTTTTTATTCTTCCAGAACATCACTAAGGAGTATGAAATTGTCGGCTCCTATTCAGATGG